GCTGAGATTCTGTTTTGTTTTTTTTTTGGGGGGGGAGAGGGGCGGAGGGCGGGGGGGGGGGGTGGGGGACACTCAGCAGAACTTCGCAACAGACAGCAACACTGGAAATACAAGGGAACACAAGGGAAACAGATGTTAGGTTCAAAAAGCGAAAGATAGCAAATGAGGGCCATCCATAATCATCATGGCAAACAAGAAAAGATCACAGTACTGACCAAAATCATCAAAATCATAATCATCATCATAACCATCATAACAATGAAACCATCAGAGCAATCACACAAAAATGATACTAGTTATCATAATCACCGTGGTAATCATCAACATCATGATAAAACATGACATGTTTCTAATCCTCCTCCACATCATCGTCAAATCATCCCAACAATCATGTCAGTGTTTCTCAAAATGGGGAAATAGCGCGGTGGGGTACCCTTCAAGCACCCTCAAATTAGCAGAACCCCTAAGCCCTAAACCTAGACCCTTAACCCTAAGCCCTAATCCCCAAACCCTAAACCCTAAACCCTAAACCCTAAACCCTAAACCCCAAACTAGGGGTCCCTTATCGTAAACCCTACACCCTACCCCAAAAAGTGAAAAGAGGAAGAAGAAGCCGTCATCTGAGCTCGCCGCGCATCCAGGGGGAGGGTCATGTCGTACTCACGCAGGCCGCCAAAGTGCTGGGAAGCAGACAGTCAGTGAGGGCTTAAAGGGTTTCAGGGGTTTAGGGTTTGGGGTTTAGGGTTTAGGGTTTAGGGTTTAGGGTTTAGGGTTTAGGGTTTAGGGGGTTTCGGGCTTAGACTTCGCGATATGTTCAGGACTGCTTTTTTTGCCCTGTTGAGCGGCGGTTGACAGTCCCAGAGAACTCCCTCCCGCTGCGCCTGGGGGTCCCGGGAAGACCCCCCACTTTGTGGGGGCGGGGCCCCGCCCATCCTTGGCGGTTTAGGGTTTAGGGCTTAGGGTTTAGGGTTTAGGGTTTAGGGTTTAGGGTTTAGGGTTTAGGGTTTAGGGTTTAGGGTGAACCCCTCCTGACAGTTTGACTTTTAGGCTCCTGATTGTAGTTTCTACTTAGCTTTTAGGCTCCTTATTGCAGTTTCTACCAAAAACTTAGAAGGCTAAAGTCCTCAGAGCCAGCCAGAAGAAAGCCAAGCAGGGTTTAGGGTTTAGGGTTTAGGGTTTAGGGTTTAGGGTTTAGGGTTTAGGGTTTAGGGTGTTTAGGGTGTTTAGGGTGTTTAGGGTGTTTTAGGGTGTTTAGGGTGTTTAGGGTGTTTAGGGTTTAGGGTGTAGGGTGTTTAGGGTTTAGGGTGTTTAGGGTGTTTAGGGTGTTTAGGGTGTTTAGGGTGTTTAGGGTGTTTAGGGTGTTTAGGGTGTTTAGGGTGTTTAGGGTGTTTAGGGTGTTTAGGGTGTTTAGGGTGTTTAGGGTGTTTAGGGTTTAGGGTTTAGGGTTTAGGGTTCAAGGGGGGCTCTGCACACCCAGAAGAAAGCCAAGCATCTGCACCGGCATATTCATGGATTGGTATGGGCCCATGGGCCCTGGCATCCCGTATCCTCAGGCGTGGCGAGGAGGGTTTAGGGTTTAGGGTTTAGGGTTTAGGGTTTAGGGATTAGGGTTTAGGGTTTAGGGTTTAGGGTGTAGGGTGTAGGGTGTAGGGTTGAGGGTTTACTGGAACGCAAGGGCGCGTGTACCAACATGCCTACTGGCACTTCTGAACAGTAACATGGCCAGTTTTTGCCTAAGTACTCTGGTTGCAGCAGCTGCCTCAACTTAGGAAGATAGCAAGATTCGGAGAAGCCCTGAAATCCAAAACCTAAAACCCTGAAATCCTTAAAGCCCTAAACACCTCAACCCCAAAAACCCTGTAACCCGTAAACCCCCCTAAAACCCCCTAAACCCCCTAAACCCCCCAAACCCCCCCAAACCCCCCCAAACCCCCCCAAACCCCCCCAAACCCCCCCTAAACCCCCTAGACCCCCTAGACCCCCGAAACGCCCGAAACCCTAAACCCTAAACCCTAAACCTTAAACCCTAAACCCTAAACCCTAAGAACCCCAAATTTCTGTGGCAGGTCGCCGGGCTGGGCTTCATCCACCAGGGAAGCAGCCTGCGGGGCCTTGCCCCAGGACTCCCATGTGACCGCCCTTCCTCCTGGGCTTACCTGGGGAGGGGAGGCAGGGCTTCAGGCTTTGTGGGGTTTAGGGTTTAGGGTTTAGGGTTTAGGGTTTAGGGCTTAGGGCTTAGGGTTTAGGGTTTAGGGTTTAGGGTTTAGGGTTTAGGGTTTATGGGGCTTATTGGGCATACAGGGCTGATCGGGTTTTTGTTTGTAGGGCTTGTAGGGTTTAGGGTTTTAGGCCTCAGAGCTTCGGGATTCGGACTTGATGGGTAACGACGATGGTGAGCAGAGCAACGTGGGATCAGAAGAGTAAGGCAATAGGGTTTAGGGTTTAGGGTTTAGGGCTTAGGGTTTAGGGTTTAGGGTTTAGGGTTTAGGCTAACAATACACAATAACCAGTAGCAATCGCAGCAAAACGATACTGAAAATGGAAGCGGACATTTCTTCGTATAATTCACTCGACGAGCTTCTACTAAAAGCGACGGTGAAAGTGAAAGTGCAAGTGCAAGTGCGCATCCATGTGCGTGCACGTTTCTAGGGCTCGATATGCGACCTTTGTCTAGGGTTCTCCGAAACTTCTAGTCTTATTTGTGGTTTAAGGGTACCTCTACTTTGGGAAGTGCCCATGAGGGGTCTGGAAAAAGGGCCCCACCTCCACATTCATCGCCGCCGCCGGCGCCAGTGAAGGCAGAAGGAAGGCAAAGACTCGTCTTCTCATAGCATGCAGGTTGGGTTTCTAAGACAAAATGCGCACTCAGGCCCCATGGACTCGAGCCGAAGCAAGCAGAAACGCAGAACCTCCTGTTGAGGACAACTTTTTCGTGGGCTGCCTGGGGCTAGAAGGGTTACGAGACATCCACACTGCTTGAAGGGCTGCGGGGGATGTTTCAGGGGGGAGGCGGGGGCGGGGGGGGCATTTTGGGTCGCAGGCATGTCTTATTTCCACTTTTCTCGGCCCGAGCTATGCAGCACATTGTCCTAACGCCTGCCACCGGCCGAAGCTGGGAAGCATCTGAAGAGCAGGTGTCGTGCTATCCTGGATCCAGTGCATCTCGGAGCTATCTCTTCGTTCCTGACCCCCTCTCTTCAGCGAGCCCCCCAAGATGCGAAATATTCCGGTTTTTGCGTTCGCTCTTCTCTTTGATGGTTCGATTGTTCCGGGGTCTGGGTGTTGGCCCAAGATACTGCACTCAGTGTGCCCCGGAAGGCGACCGCAGATACGACGGCGACCACGCCCAGAAACCTACCTAAACCAGATCGTAGCGGTCGCGATAAACCCTAAACCCCAAACCCTGAACCCCAAAACCCTGACCACCCTGAACCCTCACCCCTAAGCCCTAGATCCGAAGCCTTTCAGCCCAACACTCCACACATACTTCCGAAGCAGACTACCCTAAACCCTAAACCCTAAACCCTAAACCCTAAACCCCTAACCCTAAACCCTAAACCCTAAACCCTAAACCCATGGCTTGTGATGACCGGAGCACCGGCCCACGACTCACTCCCAGGCCCCGCCCAGGGGTCTGAGATCTTTGGCCTGGCTCCGGGGAGCTGCGGGTTTAGGGTTGAGGGTTTAGTATGTAAAGGTTTAGGGTTTAGGGTTTAGGGTTTAGGGTTTAGGGTTTAGCGTTTAGGGTTTAGGGTTTAGGGTTTAGGGTTTAGGGTTTAGGGTTTAGGGTTTAGGGTTTAGGGTTTAGGGTTTAGGGTTTAGGGTTTAGGGTTTAGGGTTTAGGGTTTAGGGTTTAGGGTTTAGGGTTTAGGGGGTAAGGTTTAGGGCTTAGGGTTTAGGGTTTAGGGTTGAGGGTTTCGGGTTTAGGGGTGAGGGTTTGGGGTTTAGGGTTGAGGGTTTAGGGTTGAGGGTTTAGGGTTTAGGGTTTAGGGTTTAGGGTTTAGGGTTGAGGGTGTAGGGTTTAGAGTTTAGGGTTTAGTATTTACGTGTGAACTATGCGGTTGTTGGTTCCAAACGTTGCGGTTTGTTAGCATGTCTTGACCACATTTGAGGTAACAAGCAAGAACGGCAAACAATAGTGTTGTTTGCCGTTTCTCTCTCCGATTTTGTCTGGTTTGGGAACCTCCGTCTCAAAATCCGGATCAAGTAACTTCTGCAAGAAATACTGGTGCGTTTGGGACTTTTCGTGTTGGGCTTGATTGCATGTCGCTATTTCGTAAATACATACAGGACATGTCACCACCTCGTCCTCGGCTCTAATGAAGCGATTCTGTTGCCATGGCCTAACGTTCAGTCTTCTTGTTCGTATCTTTGCTGTCTTCTTTGTGTTTTTCTCTACATACATTACACGTCTTATAGCTTTCTTCAAATTTCTCGATCTTCTGCATGATGCAACAACTACTGCACGATTTCAATCCTTCCAATACTCACTCTTTATAGGCGTCATTCCTTTAAGTGCGGACTGTGACTGGCATTTAAGCATTCCGACGCAGTATGATCGCTTGAAACAACACATGTCTTGACTTGCCTACACCGAGAGCACTTTCTAGTAGTGCTAGTGTTATATGCCCCAGAATCATCGAATATCTTACCTACTTTTACTGGCATTGAATTGTACAAGTTTTCATCATGCGAGATCATGTAGAATAGCACCAGTCCTTGAGATTTAACGATACTGATTACTAATTAATGCTTATGAATCTGTAGATTATTGCAAGGCACACAGGGGCATTGGGCTCATTTGCTGCTTATGTTTCTTTGGGGTGGTCCATACACTGTCGGCTAGAGACCTTGGGCTTCTCCCTGTCAAAACAAACTAGATTTGCTAGGCCGTCATATTTAAAAGTATTCTTCAAGAATAGGTGCATCTTTGTACATCCTCCTCCGCGTTTTCTGACCTTCCTTCTGGGGTAGGCTTTCTTGCCCAGTAGACACTGCATCTACACCTTCTTCTCCCGTGAGTTAGTTGCATCACAGGTGACTTCCAAGAACTCCTATCTTCAATGGAATTCTAACATGATTGGAGTATCCAAGAAGCTAAAGCGAATGCTTAACCCTTAACCCAGACCCTAACCCAAATTCTACAAGACCCCCATTCCCGTTTTGGGCTATGTAGATACAGGTACTGGGGGTCTTGAGCGCAAACAAGATCTTTACGTATATTGCATTCTTAGGTTGGTGGGTGGGTGGTGCCATAGCCCAAAATGGGAATGCTCTCCGCCTGCTCCCCCCCCCCCCCCACCCAAAAAGGGAATGCTCCCCGCCTCCCCCCCCCCCCCCACAATCCGAAGTCCAAGCCTGAAAACGTAACACCCCCCTCAACCCTAAACCGTAGAAAACCCTAGAAAACCCTAGAAAACCCTAAGAAACCCTAGAAAACCCTAGAAAACCCTAGAAAACCCCAAAAACCCTAGAAAACCCTAGAATACCCTAGAATACCCTAGAAAACCCTAGAAAACCCTAGAAAACCCAAAAAACCCTAAAAAACCCACCCCTCCCCCGGTAGACCTGGGGTTTGCTCTGATTGTTCAGAAAGACAGTGAACTCGCATTCACTGCCCACCTGCACACCAGGACACTGACCTTGTTCTAACGTAGGGAATTGGGGTTCGGAGTTTAAGGTTTAGGTTTAGGGTTTAGGGTTTGGGGTTTGGGGTTTAGAGTTTTAGACTGTAGGGTTAGCGGCATTTGGGGTGTAGGGGTGGAGTAAAGAACTGTGTACTTAAGCTTGAAAAGCTTTATCAAATGCTTCTCTTATATTTGGTGATTACAGACCCTTGAGTTCCCAGCAAGTCACAGCATTTGGGCTTTATGGTTTAGAGTTTAGAGTTTAGGGTTTAGGGTTTAGGGTTAGCTCATTGACCGAGAAGCCTCTGAGCCTCTGCTAGAATGTCCTCCTTCCGCTTCACTGCAGGGCCACGAGTTGCCCATAACTTCAATCAACCCTGAAACCCTAAACCCTAAACCCTAAACCCTAAACCCTAAACCCTAAACCCTAAACCCTAAACCCTAAACCCTAAACCCTAAACCCTAAACCCTAAACCCTAAACCCTAAACCCTAAACCCTTCACTTTGAAAGTCATCCCAGACTTCGCGCCCACAGCACCACCTGCGCTCTGAGGGAATGAGGGCCAACGTATACCCATTTAAGAGAGTATATAGGGCCCTCATTCCATGCCTGTATATATATATATACATACATATATATATATACATATATATATACACATATATATATATGTGCACCCTTTAAGGGAGTCTCTAGGGCCCTATACAATCCCTTTAAGGGAGTCGAATAGGGGCCGAATTCCCTCATTCCCTACAAAGACCCAGCCAGTGTATCTCGAAGACACCCGTCACTGGAAGAAGCTGGAAGGGATTCGGAGCGGGAGGGTTTAGGGTTTGGGGTTTGGGGCTTAGCATTTAGGATTTAGGGTTTAGGGTTTAGGGTTTGGGGTTTGGGGTTTAGGGTTTAGGGTTTGGGGTTTAGGGTTTGGGGTTTAGGGTTTAGGGTTTAGGGTTTGGGGCTCTTCCCAGGGCCGAACCTGGAGGCCAGAGGCTTGGAACTGAACCTGGGCCAGGAGGGCGGAAGTGGGAAGGGCTTTGGGATTTGGGATGTAGGGTTTAGGGTTTAGGGTTTAGGGTTTAGGGTTTAGGGTTTAGGGTTTAGGGTTTAGGGTTTCGGGTTTATAGGGTTTAGGCATTAGGGATTTAGGGCTTTGAAGTGTGCTTTTTCGAGAGTGAAGTCGAGTTTTTTAGGACATTGTGAACGAACTCCTGGTCCTTGCGTTTTTGCTTCAGGTAGACTCGTGTCACCCGAAACCCTCAAAACCCAAAACCCCAAACCCCAAACCCTAAACCCTAAACCCCAAACCCTAAACCCCAAACCCTAAATCCTAAACCCCAAGCCCCAAACCCTAAACCCCAAATCCCAAACCCTAAACCCCAAACCCTAAACCCTAAACCCTAAACCCCAAATCCCAAACCCCAAACCCTAAACCCTAAACCCCAAACCCTAAACCCTAAACCCCAAACCTAAACCCTAAACCCCAAACCCTAAACCCTAAACCCTAAACCCCAAACCCTACACCCCATATCCTAAACCCTAAACCCCTAAACCCTCCATGGACTGGCAAACCAGCGCCAGGGCGGCGTGATGCAGAAAGACATCGTTCTGGTAGCCTTCCGCCTTAAGGTCCTGATTAGGGCTTAGGGATTTAGGGTTTGGGACTTAGGGGTTTAGGGTTTAGGGTTTAGGGTTTGGGGTTTAGGGCTTAGGGCGTAGGGCGCATGGCGTAGGGGGTAGGGTTTAGGCTTTTGGGTTTAGGGTTTAGGGTTTCGGGCTAGGGCACGGCAAGTGTAAGATCCGAAACTTGGAACCGCTCTGTCATGGACTTTGAGCTGCCAGCGTTGAGGCCTTTTCTTGCGGAGTGGCTTCGGCAATCCCTGAAATGAAAAAAGCCGAAATCCCGAGACTCCCCGCAACGATCCCTAACCCTAAACCCTAAACCCTAAACCCTAAACCCTAAACCCTAAACCCTAGACCCTTTTGTAGCCGGGTCCTTGCAGTCAATGAAGCCGTAGCCGTTGTTTGGGTTGAAGCCTCCGTTGCTGCCAGAAATGAGCTTTGGGAGCTTAAAGGCGTTTTAGGGTTTAGGGTTTAGGGTTGAGGTTTTAGGGTTTAGGGTTTCGGATTTAGGGTTTAGGGTTTGGTGGGTTTTGGAGTAGGTAGCCTTTAACCTTCTGGGGTATATGTATATGTTTTTGTATATGTATATTTATGTAAGGACTCCATTCAGGGGACTGAGGTCGGAACGGTAGGGTTTAGAGGTTCAGGGGTTCATGCGGTTCAGGGGTTCAGGGGTTCATGCGGTTCAGGGGTTCAGGGGTTCAGGGGTTCAGGGGTTCAGGTGTACAGGGTTTTACGGGTGCAGAAGTTTCAACCCTAAACCCTAAACCCTAAACCCTAAACCCTAAACCCTAAACCCTAAAACCCTAAACCCTAAACCCTAAACCCTAAACCCAAAGGAATTTTGGGGACCAGGGCTTTATCTACGACTTCAGGATGGGGCCAGCTGAGGACGTTCAGACTTCGAGGAAGGTCTGCTGAGGCCCTGGCTTTTGATGAAGCCAGAACCCTAAACACTAAACCCTAAACCCTAAACCCTAAACCCTAAACCCTAAACCCTAAACCCTATAACCCTAAACCCTAAACCCTAAACCCTAAGGCCCTGGCTTTTAATGAAGCCAGAATAGTCGCCTATGACCGCCTCCGCTGGGGGCTCAAAGGCCTCGTCGGACTTCCTGCGGGTTTAGGGTTTAGGGTTTGGGGTTTGGGGTTTGGGGTTTAGGGTTTGGGGTTTGGGGTTTAGGGTTTGAGGTTTAGGGTTTAGGGTTTACGGTTTAGGGTTTAGGGTTCAGGTTGTTGGGCGCATGGTGCGTACAAGGACCGCTTTACACCAGGAGAACGGGGAGGGGGGAGCACTATTCCTTCTTGTCTTAGGGTTCCCAGGCCCTGTGTTCTAGAAAGATTGCAGCACAATCTCCAAACCATCCAAGCCTTCTTTTGTTCTTACTTCTTTTATTACTTCCTTTATGTCTTTCTTTCTTTCGTTCTTTCTGTCTTTCTGTCGTGCTTTCTTTCTTTCTCTCTCTCTCTCTCTCTCTCTCTCTCCCTCTGTCACTCTTTCTTTCACTCGTTGTTTCTTGGGGTGGAAACCCTCCCGCATGTGTGTGTGTGTGTGCGAGTGAGTGACTGAGTGAGTGAGTGAGGGAGTGTGTGTGTGTGTGTGTGTGTCGGTCGGTCGCTATATCCCTCGCCCTCTTCCTCTTCCTCTTCCTCTTCCTCTTCCTCTTCCTCTTCCTCTTCCTCTTCCTCTTCCTCTTCCTCTTCCTCTTCCTCTTCCTCTTCTTCTTCTTCTTCTTCTTCTTATTCTTCTTCTTCATCAATGAGGGTCCTCTTTCTTGGCTGCCACTGCTGCGCCTGCGGCTCGGCCGGGCGCGCCTGGCATGGTTTAGGGCTTAGGGTTTAGGATTAGGGGTTTAGGGTTTCGGGTTTCGGGTTAGGGTTTAGGGTTTAGGGTTTAGGGTTCAGGGTTTAGGGTTTAGGGTTTAGGGTTTGGGGTTTGGGGTTTGGGGTTTAGGGTTTAGGGTTTAGGGTTTCGGGTTTCGGGTTTCGGGTTTCTTGGAGGCCGAGCCAAAATCACGGTGGAGAACATGACTGGCTTCCCTCCCTTTGGAGGCTCTCTCATACCGTACATTACCTCTCCGGTTCCTTTTGGGGAATATGGCTATAGGGGATTCTCGTATACTACCAAATATACTACATAGAAGCCGTTGATGCGGAGGCGAATGGTTGATCCATAAAGCTCTAAACCCTAAACCCAACACCCTACCCTCAACCCCACTAAGCCCTAAACCCTAAACCCGACAGCCTAAACCCTTCCTCAAAGTGCAACAAACTTTCCCAGCGCAAGGCCTGAAGAGCTAACCTTGCTGCAGGTTGGGTACAAGCAGGGTTCCGGAATTCAGGTTGGTGTTTGGGTTTGGGGTTTTGTCTAGGGTCTAGGGTCTAGGGTCTAGGGTCTCGGGTCTAGGGTTAGGGTTCAGGGTTTAGGGTTTAGGGTTTAGGGTTTAGGGTTTAGGCTTTAGGGTTCAGGCATGAGGGGCTGCAGGGTCGTTTTGGTCGGGGTTGCCGAAGCGCATGCGGCTGCGACCCCTACACACCCAACCCTATACCCTAAACCCTAAACCCTAATCCCTAAACCCTAAGCCCTAAACCCTAAACCCTAAACCCTTTCTCATACCCGAATCCCCGAAGGCCCAACTCCTGATTACTCCAAACCCTACACCCACAACCCTAAAGCCCCCAAACACGAAACCCTAAACCCTGAAACTAAACCCAACTAAAATCCTAAGCCCTAAAAGTCCTGAACCCCAAGAACCCGAATCAAAATCCCAAGCTCTAGACCTTAAGAACCAAGCCCAAAGCCCTAAACCCTAAACCCGAAGCCCTAAACCCTAAGCCCTAAACCCTAAACCCTAAACCCTAAACCCTAAACCCTAAACCCTAAACCCTAAACCCTAAACTGTTTACACACTATGTGTTAGCTGGCAAAATGGGAAGCCTCAGGGCCGGGCTGGCCACCCTTCTGCTGCTGGAAGACCCCCTGGCCCTGCGGCACTGCTGGGGTTTAGGGTTTATTTAGGGTTTAGGGTTTAGGGTTTAGGGTTTAGGGTTTAGGGTTTAGGGTTTAGGGTTTAGGGTTTAGGGGTTAGGTGTTTAGGGGCTTAGGGGTCTAGGGTTTTCGGGGTTTAGGGTCTTTTTCGGGCTTCGGTGTTAGGGTTTAGGGCCTAGGGTTCAAGATGTTGGGGTTTGGGGTTTAGGGTTTAGGGTTTAGGGTTTAGGGTTTAGGGTTTAGGGTTTAGGGTTTAGGGTTTAGGGTTTAGGGTGGGGTGTGTTTCCTGACATCAAGGTGCGGAGCATTACGGCGCTTGGGGACTTCCAGCCCGAGCGGGATTCAGGGCTCAGGGTTTAGGGTTTCGCGTTTAGGATTTGGGGGATCATGGTTTAGGGATTTAGGGTTTCGGGTTTAGGGTTTAGGGTTTAGGGTTTAGGGTTTAGGGTTTAGGGTTTAGGGTTTAGGGTTTAGGGTTTAGGGTTTAGGGTTTAGGGTTTAGGGTTTAGGGTTTAGGGTTTAGGGTTTAGGGTAACCCCTATCATCAGAGACGCAAGAAGCAAGCTGGGACCAATGCCTTTCCCCAACCACCGCCCCAAGACCTTGGCGAGCACTTGAGCTGACTTCGAGCTCAGGTAGACAGCACCAGGGGTTGACAGTGAGTTTAGGGTTTAGGGTTTAGGGTTTAGGGTTTAGGGTTTAGGGTTTAGGGTTTAGGGGTTAGGGTTGAGGGCTTCAGTTGTCACACAGAAACTGGTGCAGGAAAGAGCGCTTTGCAAGCCGCAATCCAACAATGGCAGGCATTGGGGCCTCGGCAATAATCTGCGAATTGCTTCAGAACCCCCAAAAAACACAAACATATGCTTCCTCGTAAGGGTAATATAGGGATTGTCATTTCTCCATTTTTAGGAGGCTCTTAAGCAAATAGCCCCAGCTATGCTTGACTCTTACACAAACTCCACTGGCGCAGAACTCCTCACAGGCAGCTCCCCGTACCTCCCCTCACATTCCGGGGCCGCGGCTTTCCACCATCCCACTGCGGCTGCTGGTGCTGCTGCTGGTGGTGCTGCTGGTACTGGTGCTGGTTCTGCTGCTGGGGAGCACGCCACATGCCCTGCGCCCACGAGAAAAAAGAAAGGGCAACGGCGGCCAAGGACGGGCGAAATGCATGTTTTGCTGCGCAGCTCAACCTCCTCAAGGCTCGAACCTACATATACCATATGCATATTATACTTTTTTGCATATATATATATATATATATATATCACAGATACCACACATAGATAGACAGATACATAGAGAGCTAGATAGATAAATACCATATACATGCGTGTATCTATCTGTGAATACATAGATAGATAACAGTATAATACACTGAAACCCACGAAACAACCGAGCTTCGGCGTCGGGTGGCCTTCGAAGCTCCCTTGCCGCTGGCCTTCGGGGGGGCTGGGCGCTCGGGGTGGATTTAGGGTTTAGGGTTTAGGGTTTAGGGTGTAGGGTTTAGGGTTTAGGGTGTAGGGTGTAGGGTTTAGGGTTTAGGGTGTAGGGTGTAGGGTGTAGGATTTAGGGTTTAGGGTTTAGAGTTAGCGTAGGAATCCTGACTTGGCACAGGCCATACGTCCTAGAACTACAGACAACAGGGTTGAACCTTGAACCCTAAACCCTGAACCCTGAACCCTGAACCCTAAACCCTAAACCCTAAAACCTAAACCCTAAACCCTAAACCCTAAACCCTAAATCCTAAACCCTAAACCCTAAACCCTAACTCTAACCCAACAGGAACAGCCTAAACTTCTTCCGAGGGACATTATTTCGGTTCTGCCACCGGAGATCGTAAGCCTCAGCTGAGCAGGCAAAGGGTGGGGGGAGGGGGAGGGGGGAGGGGGGAGGGGAGGTAGGGTTTAGAGTTTAGAGCTTAGAGTTTAGGGTTTTAGGGTTTGAGGGTTTGGGAGTTTGAGGGTGTTAGGGTGTTAGGGTTTAGGGTCTTAGGGTCATTGGGTCTTAAACCCTAAACCCTGAACCCTAAGCCCTAAACCCTAAACCCTAAACCCTAAGCCCTAAACCCTAAACCCTAAACCCTAAACCCTAAACCCTGAACCCTAAACCCTAAACCCTAAACCCCATCGCTCTGAAGCCACCTGCGGCTTGTTGTCTTTGTTCAGCGCCACTGCAAAACTTACCTGACGAGCCGCAGAGCTTACCGGTTTAGGGTTTAGGGTTTAGGGTTTAGGGTTTAGGGTTTAGGGTTTAGGGTTTAGGATTTAGGGTTTAGGGTTTAGGGTTTAGGGTTTAGGGTTTAGGGTTTAGGGTTTTGGGTATAGGGTATAGGGTATAGGGTTTAGGGTTTAGGGTTTAGGGTTTGGGGTTTGGGGTTTGGGATTTAGGTTTAGGGTTTAGGGGCTAGTTAGTAGGGACTTGGTTCCGTCTATCATCCAGTGAAGGGACGGAGGGTACCTAATGCAATGTACTAGCCAAAAGCCGTGGACCGTGCCCTGGAAGTCCTGAACCCTAAACCCTAAACCCTAAACCCTTGTACGAATCATCGAGCTGCTACGCAGCGCTTGCACTATAGAATTCTTGAACAGTAGATCATGAATCCCAAAACCCCCTACACCCTCAACCCTAAACCATCAACCCTAAACCCTAAACCCTAAACCCGGCAGCAAGAGCTGATCAAAGCAGGCCTCGTCACCCACGTTGAATGCACCCATCTGTTGGCCGACCAGGAACACATCATTCCCAAAGACCTGGTCGGTTTAGGGTCCAGGGTTTAGGGTTTAGGGTTTAGGATTCAGGGTTTAAGGTTAAGACTCGTACCCCTAAGGTTTGTACCCCCAAAGGATACCCTCAATGTACTCCTGATGAGGCCCTTATCTTACCTTCGGGATCTTCAGAAAGGGTCTGAAAACCCAAGGCATCGTCCGTTGACCAAAAAAATGTTGAGGGTTTAGGGCTTAGGACGGTTTAGGGTTTAGGGTTTAGGGTTTAGAGTTTAGGGTTTAGGGTTGAACCCTAAGGCTAGCAATCTGGGTTTCAAGGGCCAGGCTTCTCAGGGAGGGAGCCGGGAGCCGGAGGGCATTTTGGAAGTAGGTACCAAACCCTAAACCCTAAACCCGAAACCCTAAACCCTAAACCCCAAACCCTTGAAACCCTTGAAGCCCTTGAAATCCTTGAAACCCTTGAAATCCTTGAAGCCCTTGAAACCCTTGAAACCCTTGAAGCCCTTGAAACCCTTGAAACCCTTGAAACCCTTGAAACCCTTGAAACCCTTGAAACCCTTGAAACCCTAAACCCCAACCCCTTGAAGCCCTTGAACTCCTTGAAACCCTCGTCGACTCGGCTTGCCCGGCCTTGTGGAGCTCCTCGCAGGCGATGAAGCCAAAGCCCTTCGCAGTCCCAAGAAGCAACATACCATTTAGGGGCTTAGGGTTTTGGGTTAAAGGGTTTAGGGTTTAGGGTTTAGGGTTTAGGGTTTAGGGTTTAGGGTTTAGGGTTTAGGGTTTAGGGTTTAGGGTTTAGGGTTTAGGGTTTAGGGTTTAGGGTTTAGGGTTTAGGGTTTAGGGTTTAGGGTTTAGGGTTTAGGTTTTAGGGTTTAGGGTTTAGGGTTTAGGGTTTAGGGTTTAGGGTTTAGGGTTTAGGTTAGGGTTTAGGGTTTAGGGTTTAGGGTTTAGGGTTTAGGGTTTAGGGTTTAGGGTTTAGGGTTTAGGGTTTAGGGTTTAGGGTTTAGGGTTTAGGGTTTAGGGTTTAGGGATCACAATCTGCATAACCAGGGGTCCACTTGGAGTTTACCTCAAATTGTACTTTGTATTTTGCGTTTAGGGTTTCAGGGTTTCAGGGTTTCAGGTTGGGATTGTAAGGCTTCACACCTACTGGAAACCAATGACCGCACGGGGTAGCAGCAACCAGCAACCAAACCCTAAATCCCAAACCCTAAACCCTAAACCCCAAACCCTACACCCTAAACCCTAAGCCCCAAGCCTTCTCAGTGTTGAAGGACTTGATGAAACCGTCGGAGCGCCTCTCCACCAGGGCCTTCAGGGTCATGCTGGATTCCCTATTTTCAAGAACCCCATGCGGCTAACTTACGCCTAAACCCTACAGACGGAACCCTCAACCCCGAACCCTAAACCCTAAACCTGAAACCTTTAACCCTAAACCCTAAACCCGAAACCCGAAACCCTAAATCCTAAATCCTGCTGCTGCCCGGCCTTGATGGGAGGATACGTCAGGTCCGGTACGGAGAACGACACCACCGAAGGGGCCAGTTCCGGCCTGAGGTTGATCATTCGCAGCTTGCGCAGCCGTTATCGGTTTAGGGTTTAGGGTTTAGGGTTTAGGGTTTAAGGTTTAGGGTTTAGGGCTTAGGGCTCAGGGCTTAGGGTTTAGGGCTTTGGGCTTAGGGCTTAGGGTTTAAGGTTTAGGGATTAGGGTTTGGATGTCAGGGTGTACCACATGTTCGTTCAGGCAACTTTCTGGGCACCTGAAAGCGTAGGGCTAGCTCTCATAACCTTCGGACCTACCTAGCCCTCTGACACATATCTCCGGTATTCCGCCCACATCATCTGCCAGAGCACAAGCAAAAACACAGTTCTGGCCGAATGCCAGAACCTTAAACCCTTTAAGCCCTTCACTTGTAAAGCCAAGCCCTAAACCGGTTGAGCTCCTGTCTCCTCTCCAAGCGTAGCTCAACGGACTGACACAAAATACAGAGCGAGGGAGCCAGGGTGAGAGAGTTCAGGGTTCAGGGTTGGGATGTTCCCCCTCATATGAACAATCCAGAATAGGGATTCTGAGAGGGGGTACGATAATCCCTATTAGAACCTGTCAGTATAAGGGGGAACATCCCAAGTTGAGGATTTCAAGTGTAGGGTTTAGACCATTGCACAGGATCGATGCTTTATAAGATGACGACTTTAAGGATCCCATCCCTGGTCCCTGAACCCTGAAATCCTAGTCCTAGCTCGCCCCCCCCCTCTCCAAGAGTGCAAGCGGTTTAGGGTTGCTTAGGGTTTAGGGTTTAGGGTGAGGGGTTTTGGGTCTAGGGACTAGGGTTTAGGGTGTAGGGTTTAGGGTTTAAGGTTTAGGGTTTGGGGTTTGGGGTTTGGGGTTTGGGGTTTAGGGTTTAGGGCACCTGTCATTCTGACTTGCTCTGCACTCACCAGAAACATCAATAGACACTCTACTTCATATGACTAGGGTTTAGGGTTTAGGGTTTAGGGTTTAGGGTTTAGGGTTTAGGGTTTAGGGTTTAGGGTTTAGGGTTTAGGGTTTAGGGATTAGGGTTTGGGGTTTAGGGTTTAGGGTTTAGACCTCAAAGCTCGCAGGTCCAAGTGGCCGCGACTCGAGGACGGAGCAGATCACGCTGACAGCAGACTGTTCGTCCAAGGCCCTTGGAAGGTCGCAGAATCTCTCCTAAACCCTAAACCCTAAACCCCTAAACCCTAAACCCTAAACCCTAAACCCTAAACCCTAAACCCTAGGGCGTGGAGTGAATGCCATAGAGAGCTTGACACCAGCTTCTCCTCCCCTCTCAGCTGCCAACGCGACATTTTCTGCCAACGTCTGGAGAGCATCCTTGTGATGCAAGGCCAAGTTTTGGGGCTTAGGATGTACTTGGGGTTTAGGGTTTAGGGTTTAGGGTTTAGGGTTTAGGGTTTAGGGTTTAGGGTTTAGGGTTTAGGGTTTAGGGTTTAGGGTTTAGGGTTTAGGGTTTAGGGTCTAGGGTCCCACTCCAGGGATCGAGGTCGGGCTACATCTTCGGTGTCGCACAGCGAGCCACTCTTTTGCCAGGAAGGCTTACCCCTAAACCCTAAACCCTAAACCCCAAACCCTAAACCCTAAACCCTAAACCCTAAACCCGAGACCCCGAACCCGAAACCTGTACTCAACACCCTTGAAAGCGCCAGGAGCGCAAGCAAAACTCAGTTCCGTGAGCCCAAGAAACAGGAACTCGCCATCATCTTAGGGGCCTTGCTTGTGCGAAGGGGTATTTCGGAGAGCTTGTACTTCGACCTATGTCGGGACGGCGCCAAACCCTGACCCTTAAACCCTTAAACCCGAACCTTGAACCCTAAACCCTGAACCCTAAACCCTCCTTCCCCCACACCCTCCCAAAGCCCAGCTCCTGCTCCATCGCTGTCCCCGGCCTTTGCTGAAGCGACCCGGCCGGCAAATCGCTGAGCCGAAATCGGCGTGCGCCGGAGCGTTTTGGGCACCCTAAGCCCTAAGCCCTAAACCCTAAACCCTAAACCCTAAACCCTAAACCCTGAACTCACAAGGCTTGACAACAGGCTAAACAACAGGCTGAAACTGTGTGCGCCTCTCCCACAAGCCCAGGACCAGGAGTCCAAGGGGTTTAGGGTTTAGGGTTTAGGGTTAGGGTTTAGGGTTTCGGGTTTAGGGTTTAGGGTTTAGGGTTTAGGGGCTTAGGGGTTTTGGGGGCTTAGGGGCTTAGGGGCTTAGGGGCTTAGGGGCTTAGGGGCTTAGGGGCTTAGGGGCTTAGGGGCTTAGGGGCTTGGGGGCTTGGGGGCTTAGGAGCTTAAGGGTTTAGGGGTTAAGGGGTTTAGTGGATCTAGGGGTTTCAGGTTGAAGGGGTTCAGGCTTTAACGACACCTGCAACTGCCACCCCCCCCCCCCCCCTCCTGGGGAACGACATCGCAGACAGCGGAGATGGCTTCGCCTTCCTCAGGTTGGGAAAGCTGCTTCGATTCTGCAGATGAGTAAGCATGAGCCATCACTGATGACGCATTTGCTACTCTGGGAACCCCCCATACTTTCCGTGACGGCCTGCATTTAGTCCCTCACGTCAGCCTCATTCTCAACAAGTCGGAGCTTCATGGAACTGAACCTGCAGCCCACCTCTTACTATAGTTATGTTCTGTCCTTGATATTCCTGGTAGTCGCATGATGAGTAGTACGAAACCCTAAACCCTAAACCCTAAAACCTAAAATGTTAGTAGTTCTGCAATCATTCGGAACATCATGCTCAGTTGCAATTTTTGCTAGAGGCTGCTACAGCACCTCGGTGAGGATGTTCTGTCCCTTCACTATCTCTCGCTCGATCACCATACGATGAAATTCCTAGGGTTTAGGGTTTAGGGTTTAGGGTTTAGGGTTTAGGGTTTAGGGTTTAGGGTTTAGGGTTTAGGGTTTAGGGTTTAGGGTTTAGGGTTTAGGGTTTAAGGTTGTTTGTTCATGTTCTTATTCGCCGTGGTAGTTCGATTTTGCGCTGTGCAGTCATGCCAAGCTGGAAGCTTGCCGTTTCTGCAAAAATGGCGGAATTGCTCCCTGCGTGAACATGTGAGTCCGGGTTGAGGGCGACTTGGGAGGTTTTAGGGGTTAGGGTTTAGGGTTTAGGGTTTAGGGTTTAGGGCCTGGTAGATCCATTCGATTCCGCCATTGCGGCTTCAAATGCTTCAAGAACCAGAAACGAGCCCGGCTTCTGCAGGCTCCCAAGAGTGCGGCAATCCCTGCAAGTCGTTGGGCCCGCCAGATTACGCCGACACTTTTTCTGACGCTCTGGGGCCCTATGGGCACAAGACCAGTGCCGCTTGTGGAGGCATCTGGGGGTTTACGAACATCGGGGGCCCCTAAATACGACCGCCCAAAGAGTAGGATCCCCTTAATTATAATGAGGACCCCAATAAGGTACCCCGAAATTTCGGAAGCCATCGGAGACACCTAAAGTAGGATCCCCTTAGAATAAAGGACAGGCACCCCCCCCATAAGGACCCCAATAGGGCCCTAAACCCTAACCCCTAACCCCTAAACCCTAAACCCTAAACCCTAAACCCTAAACCCTAATAAGATCGTAAGACCCCCCCCCATCTTTCTCCTAGTGCCCGTGGACATGGTCTAAACACTGATGGGCGTAGACCTCCCCACGACAGATCCAGGACCGGATGTAATCCACCAGAGTGCTGCCTGCGATGGCGCCGGCGCTGCCTAGGAGGGGACCCTATTAAGACCCTTTTGGGGTTTAGGGTTTAGGGTTCAGGCTGGTTTAGGGTTTAGGGAGTAGGGTGTAGGGTGTAGGGTTTAGGGTTTAGGGTTTAGGGTTTAGGGTTTAGGGTTTAGGGTTTAGGGTTTAGGGTTTGCCCCATTTAAAACCCTTTTGGGGTTTAGGGTTTAGGGCTTAGGGCTTAGGGCTTAGGGCTTAAGGCTTAGGGTTTAGGGCTTAGGGTTTAGGGTTTAGGGTTTACCCAACAAGGGAGAAACACAAAACGTGTCCCAAAGGGCCTACCGGGCTGCCAATGAACATCCACAGGGAGTAGGCAGCAAGGTTGTGCTCCCGCGGGATGAACTTGTCGATCGACTTCGACGCCACGGCGTAGTTGAAGCCCTGGCCGAAGAAGGTCAAGGCAGCAGAGGCCCAACTCACAACACCTGAGTTGCTGAGTTCATGAAGCCCCCCCCCCCCCCAAAAAAAAAAAAAAGTGGGCACCTTTCAGTTCTATAGGGGATTTTCGAGTATCCCAAAACAGTGTAGTAAAGTGTGCCCACTCCGCTACTGAGACACCAATGCCAAGGATGGTGAGCCCCATGCCCAACGCACTGCAGGTCACACCAAAGCACAGGGCAACGATGTTCTTGCCGAGGGTATCAAGAGCAAAGCAGTAGGCAAAGCGCCGGCTGGCCATATCACTGAGACCCACAAAGATGAAGAAGACCACAAAGAAGCGGTGCTTGTCCATGAGGTGGTCGTCTGTTGGTCCAAAAAGCGGCACCTTGTCCGAGTTGAACGTGTTGAAGTTTGCGGGAAGAGCACCTTCCATCACAAAGTCGGTCACAAAGTGCGCCAAGATGTACCTAGTTCATGGTTGGGATAGTATTAAAAAATAGATCTATATTCCTTATTGGCCTTATTGGGTTTAAGTACTCTTTAAAAAGCAAGATGTTACCCAACTATGACAAAGGTTCGGGGCCAGGATCGGCACCCAGGTATACCAGCGCCGCACGGAATGCCAGACCTTCGCCTGCTTGTTGCTCCTGAGCACCTGGCCAGTCCCCGCCGCCCCGGAATCTGCAGATCCCGCGCACAGCTTGGGGACGATCCGCCTCGCGAAGATGATGAGCCCCACAGGCATACAGAGAACAATGTACCAGAATAGGACGGCCACCGGCATGCCGAAGGAGACCAAGGTGAAGCCGATCACGTTGATGATGGCGAAGGATGCCGGGAAGCCGATGATTGCCCATGACTTCGTCAGGGGCCCCAAGGGTGTAATCACGTTAAGATAGGCCACCTCGAACACACCAAGGCCCATCCCCACCAAGCCGAAGGAAAGGAAGGCCCATCCAATCCACAAGTGACCAAGCGAGTAGATGAAGACGGGTGGAATCAAGCAACCGATCATCATACAAGCCATTGACAGGTATACACGGGCCTTAGGAGACAGGCACTGCAGCACAAAGTTCTGTGCAAGGGTCATGCTCCATTTGAACCATTGAACAAGCGCAGCCGCTTGGGTGAATATCTTCCCATCCTCACTGTCATCGCTGATGTGCAGAGACTGCTTGAAGGCGTGCTGCAGGGGGCCTACGAGAGTGTAGCCCTGAATCACGCAGATCATCACCACCAGCACGATGCGTTCCGGTGGCAAGGACTCTTCCCGCCCCTGTTCCGCAGCAATGACGCCATTCTCCTGAGAACACTCCGAGTCTGAGCCCTCCGAGCCACCTTTGTCTACGGGCTCCTCGGCTTTGGCCTGTTGCTCGCCTCCTGCGCCTGCCTCCGCTTCCATGCCGGCGCCCCCACGTTTTGAATCCTAGAGCCTAATTGCAGTGAACTCCCCACAGAGACGACTCTGCACCATATGAATTTGGCCCTGCACTTTGGCAGGAAGGTTACTTGACCTGGCGTCGGCTTTGAGTTTTGCAAGTTCAGTCCACACTCTATACTTACCCTAAACCCTAAACCCTAAACCCTAAACCCTAAACCCTAAACCCTAAACCCTAAGCCCTAAGCCCTAAGCCCTAAACCCTAAACTGCAACTTCCGGGTTTAGGGAAGTAGGGTTTAGGGAAGTAGGGTTTAGGGTTTAGGGTTTAGGGTTTAGGGTTTAGGGTTTGGGGTTTAGGGACTGTTGTATTTAGGTTATTCACGGCGCCGAATACCCAATTTCCTACGAAGAGCCCGTAAGGCACGGCAAGGTCATGTAGAAGTGGCCCCTCGTCAGCAGACAGGTGAAAAAGCCACAAAGTAGGAAAACCATCCCCTGTCACCATTCGCATTCTTCGCCCGACTCTTGAGCTTCCGACTCCTCCGGACCCCGAACCCCTGAACCCGAAACCCTCACCCTGCAAACCTCTCCACACCAGCCATACCCTTCAAACCCTGCAATATCTCCAGCCCCCCTAAGCCCCCGAAACCCTAAACCCCAAACTCTAAACCCTAAACCCTTAACCCTACACCCTAAGCCCCAAGGGGCCCAAGCCCCTGTGTCGGCTGTCTCCGCCGGCGCCGCCGGCGCTGCCGGCGCTTCCCCAGCTGCTTCGAGCACGCTGGAGGGCATGGGTGCCGGGGGCACCTGGGATTTTGCAGAGTTTCAGGGGTTTAGGGTTTAGGGTTTAGGGGTTTAGGGGTTTAGGGGTTTAGGGTTTAGGGTTTAGGGGTTTGGGGTTTAGGGTTTAGGGTTGAGGGTTTCGGGTTTCGGGTTTCGGGTTTGAGGGGGAGGCTGGGGCTTTGCTTGAGGACATTGAGCCGTTCCGAAGCTGTTACACCCTACTTGGAGCTTCATTGGTATTTAGAAGTAGAGTTATAACTAGGGTGCATCACCATCGTTTGCCCCGCTTCTTGTCGGGGCAGTTGTTGAGAAGCATGGCAGGGGCGATGAAATCGTATTTTTTCCAGTTGAACATGGCGTCGCCGCAACACGGGAATACCAAGTACAAAACAGCAAAAACCCGAGTTTTTTTCGCGTCCTGTTCGGGTGATGAGAGGTGGCACGAACAATGTCTGGTAGTGTCTAGAGGAATGGCAAGCTTGCAAACCCCAAAAACCCGACATTTCTGCACGGAAATGTTGTATTTGCAGGCAGAACTGCTTTTTACCCCGGCAGAAGAAAGGCACGAAGTGTCGTAAATACCGGTGCTTTTGCATGGACGTTATCATCGTGCGGACATGCATGCTCTGGCCATTCGCACGCAGTGGTCACACGAACGTTATCATCGTGCGGACATGGATGCTGTGGAAACTTGGACGTTATCATCGTGCGGACATGGATGCTCTGGTAGCACGGACGTTATCATCGTGCGGACATGAATGCTCTGGTAACACGGACGTTATCGTCGTGCGGACATGGATGCTCTGGCCAGTCGCACGCAACGAAGCCACGAAGCGTCGCAAATACCGATGTTTGTAGCATGTCACGTGCAGGAAACACGGCAAATAACGATGTTTGCGTTCTTTCCAAGGCTTGCAACTGCACCTGGAGTTTGTTGCAAGATCTTGTTGTTCAGCCAAATCCTTTAACCTTTCCTGCCCGAGATCCACTCCAGTTTCACTGCAAGTGAATTCTGGTCCCTCCGGCTTACGCCCGTAAACCTGCCATTCGGGCGTTCATAGCAGATTAAAGGATGCTCTGGCCATTGGCGCGCAGCGAAGCCAGGAAGTGTCGTAAATACCGATGTTAAGCGCATGTCATGTGCACGAAACACTGCAAATAACGATGCATTCGCACCCTCGGAAAGTGGGGCAAAGGAAGGCGATGAACCCTATAACTAGGGGAACTATGGTTGTCACCTTACTTAGGGGGCTTCTAACCCTACTTATGAGTGCCCATGAACCCTCAAGAAAACCGAAAAAAAATCCCAAACCCTAAACCCTCCTAGGCAGAAGAAGCTGAAGGCCTTGCCTACACTCATGGCCGAAAGTTCCCTAAACTTTCTTTTTGTTTGGGGGGGGGGGGGGGGGGATACGCTTTTGGATTGCAATCCTCCATTTTGCTTTTGGGGCTTTTTGGGTTTTAGAGTTGCGAGTGCTGCCACGACGATTTCCTGCCCAGCTTTGCCAGACGCCTGCACCCTACAGGGGCCTCCTCAACAGGCACTCTGGGTAGCCGCAAAATTCTCTCAAACGCTTCAAACTCGCTCCCAAACAAAGCAATGCTTCCAGAACCCCAAGAAAGGGAACTGGGATGAGGGGGACCTCTGGGGATATAGACCCTCTGAATAAGGATGTTTGTATCAGTATATTCGTATAGTCTTGTATTAGTGTATAAGTTTTTAGAGTTTTACATTAGTACGTTCATACCATTGTGTCAATCTACGTGTATTTGCATTGTGGCATGGTTCGATTGCAGTTTTGTTTTAATGTTCCTATTCTATGGTTGCTATTGATATATTGTACACTTACGACATTCTTACATTAGTTATGTAGTAGAGTCAAGGTAGGCGTTTGCGGCTTGCCCCGCAGCTTGTTGCCTCCTTCTTCAGGCGAGTTTCGCTATCGCGCCTTCGGTGGTGATAGCCTGTGCATGACTTGTTTTCGTGCCGCCCTCAGAAGTATGAGTTTGGCACGTTTCGGATAGGAAGTTTCACAGAGTGTGACGACTCCATCACAAGTACACGTAGTATGTTGGTATATTCAAATATTCTTGTCTTAGTACATTGAGATTCTGTTTTGTAAACTATATTACTGTATTCTTTTAGTAGAACACCATTTTATACACACAATACTGTATCGCCACATTGCTATACTGTTTTTTGTCGTATTGTTATATTGTTTTGTTCTTGGTACACTCGTATCTTTTTTACGCGATTATGTTAGTGGATTGTTATATGATTGTATAAGGGTCCCGTTTCAGAGGACAAAAAAACACAGACAGGCTGGGAAGGGGTTGACCATGAGGGGTCTCACTCAGGACAGAGGCATTTTAATACCTAACCGGACCTAAACCTAAGTCCTACGCCCCACTTTTGGGGATTTAGGGAGTAGTCAGGGTTTAGCGTTTTAGGATTTGGGGTTGGGGGGCCTTTAGGGGTGTTGTCCCGGTCGGATTAAGGCTTCAGTCCATAAACACGCAAAGCCTAAACCTTAAACCGTAAGCCCTCAACCCCCAAACCTTGGGATGTTCCCCCCTATACTAACAAACAGTCCTTCAAATGGATGAAAATAGGGGGTACTATCATCCCCATTCAGGCCTCGTAGTATAACCCAAATCCCTAATCCCTAAACCGTCAACCCTCAACCCTAAACCCTAAACCCCAGCAGAGTCCAGGCACGCTCGTGTCTGCCGCGTCCTCTTCGGCGCCAGGACCGTCGGCGCCCTCCATCGCAGTGTCTGGCTGCACCTTCGAGACTTTCAGCTACCGAAGCCTAATCCAATAGCTCCCAACACGTTCAGGGTTTAGGGTTTAGGGTTTAGGGTTTAGGGTTTAGGGTTTAGGGTTTAGGGTTTAGGGTTTAGGGTTTAGGGTTTAGGGTTTAGGGTTTAGGGTTTAGGGTTTAGGGTCCGCCGACCCTGGCGGTGTTGGATGGTGAAAAACCTCCCTTTTTCCCTCCTCACATTTCAAAACGCGGGGGGTCCCGGGCAGCTTTTCCACGGAGGGCCAGGCCACCCACACGGCATAAACTCACGGACCATAGGCGGTTTCGCACAGGACATAGGGGCCCTTTGGGAAAACCCCCCCCACCCCCCCCCTGCCCCCCCTACCCCCTCCCTACGCCCCCCCTACCCCCTACCCCCCCGCCTGGCATCCTTTGACCTAACGAATGCGTTTAAACCTTTCAACTATGCTCCAGCGGGGTCGGCGGCTTGGCTCTTAAATCCGGCCCCCACACCGCCCGTGGTCCAGGGCGGAGCCCGCGTCGCACTAAAAGCGCTAGCATTAAGGGGCGAGCGCCCGAGCCGCCGACCCCGCCCAAAATTGCTTCAAATTCGCGCGGAGCCCTTCGGGCTCCGAAACGTCATCCAAGGGGACGCAACACGCGGTGGTGCGAAAAGCACGAAAACCTCGTAAAAACCATGCATTTTTACGAAAAACCGAGGCCAGAAAACACCCGCAGCACCCCATTAAACCTCACGGGCGCGCATCATCGACCCTAGCTTTTCACATGGGGTGCGCGCCAGGCCGAAACCATGTTTTTCAAGGTTTGGGGGGGGTACATCATGAGCATCAGCAGCCCTGGCCCGCGGACCCAAGGCAAGAAAAAACGCTGAAAAACGCTGAAATCACCGTAAATACCGTGTTTTTATGAGGGTTTTCACGCGTGCCTCCGACCCCCACCCTTGTTGCCCTTGACCCGCCCCCAAAGTGCGCATCATCGAAACCCACGTCGGGGGGGGGGTCTGCTGATGCTGCTGATGCGTGGGGGTCGGGCGCATCATCGAGCCATCGTTTCTCATGGGCCTCCGGGCCCACGGCCCAGAGACCCAGCTGATGCTCACGATGCTCGGTTTGGGGGGGTGTTCCAACAGCAGAAAACCTCGTAAATACCGAGTGTTTTGTGGGTCCACGTAAAAACGCCCCTAAAATCGCTCATTTTACGCGCTCGAGCGGCTTCGTGCCTACAAAACACCCGAACAGCAGGACCCCGAATGCGCTTAAGGGCATTCGGTGTGTTGCTTTTGGGGGTTTGGTGGGCACGCAAGCGTTCAAGCACATATAATCGGCGTGTTTCAGGAGGTTTCGGATGGCCTGGGGGAGGCCGCTGATGCTCATGATGCTCTCTCTTCCTCGGTTCCAAAAGGCTTCCCAAGCTCAAAAACACGTGTTTACAGCGTTTTCTGAAGGTTTTTCGA